CCCCCCAAGTTTACCTGCGTCTCGCACGGCAGAGAAAGCCAGGTGACCGTCATGTAATTATGTAATAGATTTAACTTGGCTTCCAGAGATAATGTGACACTGAAAGAGAAACAAACAAAGTTCAGATGAATACATTTGTATCTAAGTTATAATTTAGTGATCCTGTAATGACCGATTATAACAGACTGACTGCTGTGCTCATGTGTACGGAGGGAGGCCAAGTGTCTCCAAGTGGCTGCAGGAGGAGAGCTACAGTGACAGCTGCACCATGATTGGCTGTAATCAAACCTCATGCGATTGGCTGTAATCAAACCTCATGCGATTGGCTGTAATCAAACCTCATGCGATTGGCTGTAATCAAACCTCATGCGATTGGCTGTAATCAAACCTCATGCGATTGGCTGTCACGGTGATCACATTATTAGAGACATTGCCCTCAGTTTGGAAATCTGGCTGTTTCCCCACTGGGCAGATTTCTCTTCTCTTCCTGTTCTGTCTGACACCACTGACCTCCTGGACAGGAAGTGAAGAGAAATCTCTCAAGTGAGGCCACAGACCGTAATAAAAACCTGGCAGAGGTTGTAACCTTACTCTATCCTCTATACCAGTGCTTCTTAAAGTGTGGGTTGCGACCCCATATGGGGTCCCGCAAGTGAACAGGGGGGTCACGATCCGAGTCCCCGGCCAAGACAGCCATGGAGGCTACCGTAGCACTCCAGCTGTGCTGAAACTACAAATGTCATTATGCCCCTGCCTCTGGAGTCACGTCGTTCCACAACACCCCTGCTCTATACTCTGGGGGCACAAATGGTGGGATTGGGCTCTTCATATACGATACCCGAGGCATGCCAATTACCTTCCGGGGGCATTTAGTGAAAACATGTTAAAGGCCCTGCAAAGCACAGCTGTCATTGGAGGCCGAGAGAGGACAAAGCCGAGATCCCGTTACATCCAGCAAAGGAGAAACGCCTCATGAAATATTCACCGGCCCGGCTGGAGGAGGACAGCGTGTCATGTGACACTTCCCGGCCACATGTGCACAGCAATCCATAGAATCCAATCAGAAAGCCAAACTGCTGAGAGATCAAC